CATCACAATGCATCATAAAAACCACCTTAATTTCTGAACTACCCGAAAAGCAGAAGCGGCGCGGTCGAATTTCTAAAAGAAGAAAAGCTCCATGACCACCCCCTTCAACGACATTCATATTGAAAAGTGTTCCTAAAAGAGGAAAAGCTCTACACACGACTACCCCCTTCAACTTCCTCTTATAGAGATTCGACTGTAGCTGCTATACCAAGACATGTGGATGACTTTTGGCTATGTATACCTTTCAGTGAAGTTCAGGCAAAACATTATTATTTGTCATGGAACAAGAAGAAAATTGAAAATCATTTTAATGAAAAGTCAGATTTAAAAAGAAATCAGATTTTTAAATTAGTTGTTTCAGATTTGTTATCTTGATTTTAAAACTGCTGCGAATTGAAATTTTGCTGGTAGTTTCATTTAATAGTCTACTTCCTAATAAATTATCTATAATTTCTGCTACAAGTTTTAAATCATTCATTGAGTTATAATTTTAGTTCGTCAAAAACTTCATTCGCCATGACACTCTTGAAGTTGATAATATTTTTCCAATTGATATATTTAAATATTTCGAAGCCATATCTTCGATATAGTGAACTAAAATGCGGAGCATCTCCAAAAACTATCAGCAAATATTACTGCTTCTTAAGAAGCTACAAAAGAAGTCTTCCTGCGTTCAATGTAGGGTTCACGCTGAAAAGAAAACTGACCGGCACTAAGGTTTTTGAATTTTTCTTTTAATTTAGATTTTTAATATTTTATGCTTAAGGCTGACTGTCGAGTTGAACGAAAGATTGCTGATAGAAACTACAACACTGTCATGAATTTAGAAAAAGTTGACGTTTGCGAAGTTATCAAAGGCGTTTCTACTTTACCATTTCTTATCGAGGTTCGTGATTTTGTTGTAAAACTCAACACCACTTACATGGAGATTTGTGACAGATCCGGTGATTTTCATTTAACAAATGCAAGTTTTAATGATATGAAAATTTTGAGTTATTTTCCTGAAGGAGATTACAGAACAAAATACATATTTTACGATTCCAAAGATGATAACGTATTTAACATGTCATACTTATTAAATATAGGACGTAAATAATTATACACATAAAAAAAATTTCATGATTTTGTGTGATGAGTTTAATTTAACAATCAACTTCCTAATAAATTTTCTATTATTTCGAAAGGAAGTTTTTAGAAGATAATTTTTTTTTGTTTTCTAAGTTCAGATTATCAAGCAACTACTTCATTCGTCATGAC